GGTGGAAGCAACCCTGAAGCTGCTCCTCCAGCCTTCCCAGCAAGGCTGTAAACACCTGCTTCTCTCTATTCAATGCCTTTCTGCTTAAAATAGCTCCTGTGGTTTTTGTTTCCTGCAACTGGGCTCTGCTGATACACGCCATTTTCCTGGCCTTTGCAGCTGCCTACCCAGCAATTGATCCTGTAAACACCAAGATGAAAGCTTTGAATATCTGCCCCATCTTTCTTATCTGCCTTCATTTTTTCTCCATAGCATTTATTATCTCCCAATGAATATTTTTATTTATTAGTTGAATGTCCCCCTCAAATTTAAGCTCCATTAGAAGAAAGGCTCTATTCCCTTCTGTACCGCTCTGTAACGCTTAGAACAGTACCAGAAAATAGTGGGAACTCAATGGTGGTGAATGAATGAAATCAGCTTTTCTTCACTCAACACTCCTTAGAATGTATTAGTAATAGATTCATCAACAATGATGCCTCCTCATGAAGCTTTCACCTGGATTTTTAACATCCTCAAAAAAACCACAAATGACATGCATCCTTAGATCTCAGCATTATATTCAGTGTGACCTATTCCTTCCGGTTTACCTGAGATGTTTTAGCCCTGAAAGTCCAATGTTTGAAGACCTCTCAGTCCTGCAAAAACCAAGATGATCTGTTACCCGAATTAAATTCATGAGCTGTTAAAGAAAGGCACTTGGCATTGTATTACCTTAAATCAATCTTGCAAATGAAAGCTTGAAAACATGAATCTATTAAACCAGCCTGAAGTTTCCATCCAGTATCAGTTCAGTTGCATATGATCCTGAAACCACTAGGTTTTTAAAATTTGAGCAAAGGCTTAGGCTGCATTTTGCATTTTTTTTTCCCACTACAACTCTCATTTGGCTATATGCTGAGTATTTTACAATCAAGCCTATGAAATCTCTTCTGTATTTCAGTCACATTAAAAAAGCCATACCTAGCCTTCCCACAAAAAAGATGCTGTAAAGGTTCATATTGGAGAAGTACTGTGGAATATTTAGCAATGTTAATTCTAGGAGTGAATAAAGACTTTTTTATCACTAATCATAAAAAAATCATTCCCATCTAGCTGCTAATGTTATCCTAAAACTTTAGGCAATGTGTTCCAGTGTAATCATGTGGATTTGAAATGTCAAGGACACTGAACTGGTGCATTACAGAGAATTTGGAAAATAAGAGCATTCTCAGTAAGACCCAAGCTTCTGGCAGATGTAACATCTTAGATATTCTCTTTCTCTGGTGACTCATGTGGATGGGTATTTAGATTTTAAAATGTTCGTTTGAACCAAAACTGAAACTTAGATGTGCTATTATTGCCTTGGTTGGTTTTTTTTTTTTTTTTTTGTGCACCTGCAAAAACAATTGTGTAACTAAATGGACCATTTTCATGGTACAAGCAGTTACATGTGACAGTTCTGTTTCTCCAGCAGTGAATAAGTAAGTGGTTAAATGAGCAGCAGTTGCACAATCCCAACACAATACTTTCTGCAGAGCTAGCAGTCTCTGTCTGAACATGTTTATAAAGCAGATACGGAGAAACTGACCAAATCTCCAAAGGGCAGCTTGCTTAGAGGGACGAAGCACACATACTGCTTCTCATCTGAAAAAACTTGGTCAAAGGATTGCAGAACATGCCCTTGCCAGACTTTGTGAACTCTGAAATAAATGTTCTATGTCTTGATCTTTCCACAGCCTGACCCAGGTTCTTGGACAGATTTAACATTTTTGTTAAAACTGACTATTGGGCCTGACCACTTCCTTCCTTCCAGGGCTATTTTCAGAAGCAGAGAAACAGTGCCTCTGCACCTGTTGTTAGTGTAACTACAAAAGAAAACCTCCATGAATCCTTCATTTGTTCTCTCAGCAGGGTCAGCAGTGCCCAAGTCCAGGTAAGGGGTAATACCAGTGTTCAGTGGAGTTGGTCGGGGGCTCAGAGGCCAGGCAGCCTCAGGAGGGAGCATCTCACCTACCGTCTTCCTGTATGTATCCTTTGACTTGCAGCTTTGCACAGCCAGAGCTCCCTGCTTCAGGTCTGTGGCTGGCCTCATTGCTAAGAGGCACAGCTAAGGATCACAGCCCTATTGTCTTGACAGTGGGAATGATGGGGCAAAGGGGAAGAGAAGCTCCTATGAGCAATTGCCTACCAGATACCTGACCTTGTTCCACTTGTTGGGATGTGAATACGTGATCGAGACCCACTACCTCAAGAAGCTTACAGTCCCGGGGGAGATGGGCATCCACCCTCATACCTTTAGGGGAAGTCTACTGCAGCCTGGACAGAAAGCAGGAGCTACTCCAGATCCCCCAGCATTCAGGTTCCTGTCCCTGGCTCCGATCATCCTGGCCATGGGTTTGCCATAGGCTGGAGTTTCAGGATGAGATCTGTGGCTAAACCTCATCAGCTAAGCCAGTTTCTGCCTGCATTCTCTTTCCAAGCCCAAACTTGGAATTAGTATTGAGTCTTTTTTTTTTTTTTAGTTTTTTTTTCGGCGGACACAACATCTCTGTTTGTACGCGGTGCTGAGGATCGAACCCGGCCGCACGCATTCCAGGCGAGCGCGCTACCGCTTGAGCCACATCCCCAGCCCTAGTATTGAGTCTTGATATCTGACCTCTACATGCCAGGAACTCATCTTGGCTATCTAACACAATTTTCCTAACTTTTTGTCTTTCTTCACAGAAATTTGGCAGAGAAGTGGGATCCTTATTTTCACCTTTTCTCTGGGTCTGTTTGCTCAAAGCTAGAATAACAGGGGACTCCTAAAGCCGAATGAATTTGATGCTCCAAGAATGACCAGGAACAAGTGGAGGTCTAGTGTTCTATCTCACACACTCAGGGCCGAGGCTGCTTGGGACTTAACATTTTTTTCATTCATATGCAAAATACCCCAAACACAGTTTCTCCGAAACACAGAATCCTGAAACCAAATCACTGATGTTCCTCATTTTTAAAATTTCTGTCTCTGTAGTGGTTACACAATAGTGTACTGTACTTTGTATTTGAGGAGAATAAAGAATATTTTATGGTTCTGATGTCCAGAGAATTTGTATTTCTTATGCACATATATTTCTTCTTCTCTGTAAATTCATTTCAATAGACTAAACACGGTCTTTGGTGGTTGCTTCATTTAAACATGGAAAAAATGCTACAGATGGGTATGGATTTATTTAGACTTTCACACAGCCTTCTGGAAGCCTTTTCACCAAGGTGTGTTTGGTGCGCTGGCCTCCCCCAATTTAAGGCTGGGCAGGAAGTACCTGTGACTGGATTTATAGTCCATAGCTGGGCAACGAGCTTTGTTATCAAGGGAGGGACCCAAGTACTGGCTGCAGAAAATGGAAAATACTGTTCTAGGGGTGGTTACACTGAAATTGCTACTTAAGCACACACACGTCCGCATACACGGCTAGACCCATCGTAAAACCGTATCAGCTCACACAGATGCAAAGCAAATGAAGCGCCTGTCTCTTGAACGTTCTCTAAATAACAACAACAAGGTCTAGGCTTGAGTCTCTAAGATGCCCCAACTCACCTGGTTTCCGTCCTGGTGTCTACCTAAGCATTGGATAACTGGCTTCTTCTCCTATACTACTGGTAAGTATTACTCAGAAACAGTAGAGCTTCTCAGAAATATTTTAAGCATGATTCTATTTTTCCCCCGCCTCATCTTTAGCACTTAAATCCATGTCTCTGAATCCTGTATTTTTGTCCACCTGGTGAGGTTCAGAAGAGGAAGGCAGGGCCTGGGGCCTGCAGAGCTGCTGACCAAGGTAGTTTGGATGCTGGATGCTCTTTCTGGAACAGGAAGAGGAAAGCGGGCAGAGAACCAGAGCTGCCCTCAACCCTCTGCAGGGACAGCTTTTGTTACTGCCTTCTTTTAAATTCACTTAAAAACCGGAGGACTAAACAACAGGATTTTGATACAAAGAACAGAACTCATTTACTTAGGACTTATGACTCCTCCTTTCACTAAGAAATTGACATAAACACCTTCCATGAAGGTGCTCCTCCCAGAAGCAGTCAGCCACCCACGTGCCGCCCTCTTCCTGCAGCACACCAACCAGCAACAGACTTCAGTTGATTTCTGTTCAGGGTGGATAATTTTACGACCGCTAATTATATCTGCAGTCACATATGGAGAGATAGATATAAAAATAGCCCTTTGTCCTTTTACAAATCGAAGGAAATTTTCAAATATTAACTCTGGCAATCTCCTTACAATCTCCCAGAGGTGGAAGGGTAGGCAAGTAAGTTTTCGTGTTCTAAGGAAGCAGGAGAGGTTAGGGTGGTGGCTTCCTCAAGGTCAGGCCTACACCTAGAAATACCAAACAGGTGATGGGGACTGGTGTCCTTGAAGTCACACTGCTCTCTCCAGAGGACCAGCCCTAAGTTTTGAGGGCAGGGCCTGCATCCAACTTCCAGGTCTTAGAAAGAAGAGTGACTAATACGGAGCAAGAGCCCAATGGCGATACCCCACTATCGAAAACTTTCTATCCGTGCACCGTGTGTGATAAACACAAAACTTTGGTCACGTATGATACTGTGGATGAGAAAAGGAAAGAACCCAGGCGGCTAGAATCTGCTCATAGTAGAGAACAGTGGAGTGGATTAACAGGCTCCCTCCACAGTCGTTCCAGACTTGGGGTCCTCCCATGCCCATGACCCCTTACTGCCCAGGTGACCGACAGAAAAGCATTTTATTTCATGTCTCCCATCTCCTCCACATGCAATGGAGATAAACCCCTATTCTGAGCACAACTAGGATGAGCAAGAAGGTAACTCACGTAAAACAATCAGCACAGGGCCCAGTACAGGGTAGGCATTCAGCAGAGGAAGCCAATTTTAGCTTCAGAGTAGAAACTTCCAGGGTCTCTTGTGGGTAACAAGGGGAAAAGTTTTGGCCCCAAAGAAGAAACATTTTGTTGGCCCTGTCCCAGGATTGTGCTCTAAGCAGACACAGACAAAGCCAGGAGTGATGCCCGTTAAAAATTTAACTATATATCATATTCATTTATTATCAATCCACAGGATAATCTGATTGCTACATGAGCTCATAAAAGCTTTTTTTTCACCTTTACAAAATTAAAAAAAAAATGTGCCACAAGGATGTAATAACAACTGCTGATAAACAAGAAAAGGAATCTTAAAATTATAAATTTGCTGTAGAAAAGATAAAAAACAATTATATTTTATTTAGAATTTTACCTTGAATAAAATATTCCCCTGTATAAAAAATAAAAAAGCTTGCTCTGGTTAGAATTAGAGTATTTTCGTCTTCAAATCTGGGAATTTGCATAATATTTCCATGATAGTTTTCCTTTGTACCGCGTGGCATTCAAGCATAGCAGATTAGAAAGATTTTTTTTTTTCCTCCAAGCAGTCTTAAAAATGGGACATCTGTGGAGAAGTTCATTTTCTCCTCCTCCTCCTCCTCCAGGATGTGGATCACAGCCTCTGAGGGGAGGAAAAGGAGGAAAGGAACCGTGTGGGAGGGGATGGGAAGGGATGGGTGGAGGGTAAAGGGCAGAGAAGGGGACGATGAATGTGCTGTGGAATAGAGCAAGATCATAAGAAGGCCTATCATAAGTGCTTTAAGATAAGGTGCAGAAGCAGACTGCAGCGTCGCTAGTACTGCCCTATGTACATATTCACAAAGATTAAAAAATTCCAGCTAGTTCACATTTTCTCGTCCATTCTGAAGCATCCACTCCACCACGCTGGCCTTGACCATAGGCAACGCAGCACCTCCACTGCCCGTGTGGCTGTTGGTCCTTGAACTTGAGGGAGTCGCCCTGGGAGATCCAGCAGGCTCTAGAGACACGGCGTCTACCAAGGGGCTGGAGTCCTGAGTTAAAAAGAAGCTCCAGGGCTGGAGTTGAACACAGCAATCAATGTTCTATTGTCAAGGCTTTTTCCCTTAGATTTGTCTAAAATAGGTGTCAGAAAGAAAAATAAAACACAAACAAACAACAACACAAAGCCAAGAAATCCCAACAACCACCGGGGAGACTCAAGGGCTTAGCAGCTCTTGACACGGGCCTGGGCGATGTCTGACGTCTTCTTGATGACACTGGCCCGAGTCTCTCGGTCCCGACTGCTGCTGGATGCAGGGGTCACGGAGGGAGTGAGGGGGAGATCAGGAAACGTGGGCCAGGAGCTGTTGTAAGGCATCGGACAGCTCTCCTCCTTGATGGTGACCTGGAGATCCGGCTTGTTGGAAGTGACGAAGGTCGCCATGCTGGGCAGCAGATAGGTGCTCCGTGTCCCCATGTTGCTGAGGTACTGTTTACCTTCAATGTTCCTCTTCCGCCAGTGTGGTCTCCCCTTTCAAAGAAAATAATCCAGACACATGTGTTCTTTTCCTTCCACTGAATGCCTTTTAAAAAATGTGCCACCAAGGGTGGGCACAACCTGTAATCCCAGTAATTTAGGAGACTGCAGCAGGAGGATCACAAATGCCAGGCCAGCCTGGGCAACTTAGGGAGACCCTGCCTCAAAAAAATTCACAAAAGGCCTGCAGTACAGTGCTTGCCCAGCAGGTGCAAGGCCCTGGGTTCAATCTCCAGTTCTCATGTGCGGGTGTTAGAATCACATTTTTTTTTAAGTTAATGCAATGAACAAAAGCTTAGCAACTGTACATCCTTCAACTGAAATCTATACCCAGTTCTTCATACCCCAAGCAATGGTTTCTCTTCTCTTTTTATCAGTTCCCATTTGCTAACTCCAAGAAATATGGCTAAGGATATTCTATGAAGGCAGGAAAAGAAAGGGGAAGCTTGCTTTTCGACTCCTCTATGCTCTAGGCACCCACACAGACCATTCAATATGCTTCCGTGATGGACAGTCGGTCAGGGCACTTAGTCCTCACTGCTGGCCCAATTAGACCTTTGAGGCAACCTGCATTTTCAGAGGAAAGGAAATGAGGAACTCGCAAATAGAGAGCGAGCGCCCTTGATTGTTTTCAAATGTGTCCAGCTTAGAGATGCAGGTGCTCAACAAACAGGGGCCCTGTACAGAGGATGGCTTCATTCAGAGTAAAAGGTAATTTTCTGACCTTGAAGAAGAATATATGTGAATGTAGCCACTGTCTTCTCAGAATTCCCACACTTTATTATAATGTATTGAAATCATTAATTGTGAAATCATTAATTCAACAAACCATTAGCTTCTCTCTTCCTCTCCCTCACTCTGGTCTGCTTTCTTCCTCTCACCCCCTTTTCTCTTTCCATCATCATTTACAGACATTTCCTGCCATTGTGTGGGCCCAGCTATAGGAGGGAAGTCAGAAGCAGTCAGACTGGGAATCAAGATTGGACATCGCTCGCCTCTGCGCAGGATCATGGAGGGAGGGAACCCATGGATGTGTGGAGGTAACTTTGCTAAGGTCTTCCTGGCTTGTATTTCTGGTCATTGCTTTTGGCCGGGCAGGACATTCTATTTCTGCTGGTGAATTAGGATGTTGACAGTGATAAGAATATCAACATTTCCTGGCCTCAATTTCAGTTTCCTTTTCCTGCTGTCATAGCCTCTCTTTCTGAGGATGACGTTTTATCCCTTTTCCTCCCATTTGGTGCCCAACAATTTTATAATTTGAAATCTAGAAGGGTGGTAAATTTTAGGTTATGCATATTTTAACAGACACACAAAAACATCCACAAGCAAAACATGGTCACAAGCACAGGCACGTGGGTCGGAGCAGGAAGCAGGCTCACCTCAGCGCTCTCCTCGTCGCTGGGGACGCTGTCGGTAGTTTCGCTTTCTGTTCAAAGAGAGAAAAACACAGGACCATTATTTGTTCCTGTTGCTCAAGTTGTTTTGAAGCTCAGGTAGTGTCGATAAAAGATATATCAGCACTTCTTTTCCAAAAGAGAAATGGGTAACCAAACTCATCAAGTCCCCCCTTTATAAGATCAAACACTTCTATGTGGACAAGCTGGAGGGAGTTTGAATGGCTTGGGCCCCCAAGAGAAAGCAGGTGGAGAATGAAGGGGAGGCACACTTTCCAAGAGCCAGCCAGCATGGGGTGCTGTCCCTGTGGCGCCCTTTTCTCCCTGCAGCTCTGGCCATGATGCCCGACGCTGGTCCTCTTCCAGTCCACGCCAGTCATCATGGGGAAGTCCCAACTCAGAGTGAACGTTTTCCAAGAAGTCTTCCTGCATCATTCCCATTCTACTCAGACCCGCCTTACCCCACATCTGGTTAGTCACTATCTTAAATTCTTAAGAGTTGCCTCTTCCACCTGGGTGACCCCAGGTAGACAGACTTTCAGGTGGCCTCAGATCGTCATCTGGTATTCAATTTTTTGGAACCTCCTCCTCTTGAGTGTGAGTGGGACCTGTGACTTGCTTTTAACCAACAGAATACAGCAAAGGATCCAGTTTTACATCTCCATGACCATGTCACATAAGACGGAACCTGTCCTTTTGAGGAGACTCCTGCTTGCTGATCCCATTGGGGAAGCTCACAAGGAAAAGGACCAAGGGCCAAGTCTGGTTCAACAACCGGTGAGGAACTAAACTCTGTCAAAAACCACCCGAGCTTGGAACTGAACCTCTTCCCAGCTGAACCTCGGATGAGACAGCAGCCCCAGCCAATACCCTGACGGCAGGTCAGTGAGATTCTTCTCAGAGAACCCACCTGAGCCACACCTGGACTCATGATCCACAGAAACAGTGGGATAAGAACTGTGTATTGTGTTAAGCCATTAAGTCTGTAGTCACACTGTCATGAAGCAACAGATAGCTAACCAGTTACTATCCTGATTCCACTTGCCAGCTGTGAGACACGGAGCCAATTTCCTAATTCCTGGGAGCTACGTATATTTTTCTCATCTGAAAAAATGGGGAGTGTCCTTCACTTCCACCTTCCAAGGAGGACTGTGTGATGAGTGAGTGAGAAGGTGTTAAGGACAGGCCTACCATGGGGCCTCACAGCACAGATAAGGAACTGGAGTTATTCAACATCGAATTGGCATGACAGGCCTGTTGAACAGAGTCAAAATGAATGCACCAAAGGTGGAACTTCCAAACCATAGACTCTTAGGAATCTTTCCATTTGGGACATTTACATTTTAGTGGAGGCCTGAAGAGAAATTGTAATAATGAATATTTATGGAGTGCTAGGGCCAGGCAGGGCCACAGCCTTTGCACGTAGGCTTTGTTTAGACCTTATAAGGATTCCGAGTTGGACAGCAGGTACTATCGTCCCTCTATATGTAGAAATGCTAGTGTGTTCTAGAGCCTTCCACACTCTTCTACCGTGTCCCTGATGAGGAACTGGCTTCCAATCTCACATCTTCCTTGTGGGACAAGATGGCTGCAGCCCAGACTTGAGTCCTTTCCACCACCCAGAGCATGAGCTACAGATCAGACTCCCTATACATCATTAAAGGCTAAAGAACAGACAACTCATGCCACAGTTGCATTCCTTGGTCCAACAGCAAGCCTGTGGAACCCACAGATCCCAAAGGGCGCATTCTGCATGTTTCTCAGCCATTGTTCTCCAGGAGCTCTGCAAAAGCCTGGGTCATAGCTAGGGCTGAGATATGAGCAGCCAAAGGACAGGCGTCTGCACTGCGTGAACGGAGCATGTTTCCCCAAAGCACAGCTGGAGCATCAGATGCCAAAAGAAGGGTCCAGGCTTAGCTGACAATGATCCCAGCTACGAAGACCAAAGGACAACAATAAGCACATGAAATATTCCAGACAGAAACAAATGAAGAGCAATAGAAAAGGAAACCTCCCTCCAAACATAACCCCACACAAGCCCAGTCTCCAGAGGAGGCAAGAGGCTGGGCTGCTGCTCCCAAGAAGGAAAAAGAGGAACAGAGATGTTGAGAAACTTGCCAAAGTCACGGACTGAGTCAGCACAGAGGACAGAAAACAAAAGCACTTCTGATTCCAGGGACACCCATCAAACACAGCAACTCTGCTTCCCTATTGGCTCCGTCTCTGGTGAAAGTTCAAGATCCCCTTTCCATTTTTATGCTTAGCTTTGTTTGTGCTCTGAAGCTCAAGTTTCCCTTCCTTCCCAGCATGCCAAGCCCCCTTCATTCTTAACGACCCTCCATAAATACCATGATCTTCCGTTCCTTTCCCTTCAAATAAAAATGTAAACAAATGCCACCCGGCATACTTTGGGGGCTGGAGCCTCAGGAAAATGAGCAATTGACACCAAGGTTCTGGGACTCTATCAAGCCCAAGCTGCAGTTACTGGAGGGTTTGGAAATCAGATCCTGGGTTAAGAGTCCTTGGTAAGCCAGGTGCTGGGGTACATCCCTGTAATTCCAGAGGCTTGAGAGGCTGACGCAGGAGGATTACAAATTCAAGGCCATCTTCAGCAACTTGGTAAGGCCCTATGCAACTTAATGAGACCCTGTCTCAAAAAAAAAAAATTAAAAATTAAAAAAGGGCTGAGGATGTAGCTTAGTGGCAAAGTGACTCTAGGTTCATGTTCTAGAAGCAAAAAAAAAAAAAAAGACTCTTTGGTCTCCTTGCACAGACCATGAATATGATCAGAATGTCCATTTTCACTAAATACCCAGTTTTCAACTTCAGGGGGAAAGCTGTGGATGAGAAAACAAACACATTGATGTTTATTTCTCATGTTCTGGACTTTTGATTTCAATGAACACAGAAGCTGGTGGAAGACCTTCATTTCTAAATGAAGACAGACTGCTTCTGAAGTAGTTATGAAGACTCTAAATTAGAAACTAAGTGTTGTGGTTTGGATCTTAAATGTCTTTAAAGGATCCCGTGTTGAAGACGTGGACCCCAGACAATGGCAGTATTGGGAGCCAGTGGAACCTGTAGGACAGGGGGCCTCGCAGAAGGAAGTGAGGTCACTGGGGGCACGCCCCAGCTCCCCTTCTCCCACGCTCTACCACTGAGCTACACCTCCAGCCCTTCAGTTGTTTCTCTCGGGTATTTTGTCAGTGAAAAAAGGCTGACTACCACACTGATGTCTCCAGCTTTTATTGTTTGAAAAAAGTGGCCTTGATGGAGACACCTGAGGTTCCCACCTAAGGACCCCAGAGTCTTCTCTCCAGACCAACAGAGGTTCTCAGGGCTACTCCCAAATGGCTCCTCAAAGTGCTCACTTCCTCCGTCTCTCGGTTCTACTCGTTTCCACGGTGACTTCTTACATGATAAATGAGTTCACTGCGGCCGCTGCTGCTTCCAGACTCATGTCACTCTGAAATACCAACACGCATTACTTCATTTTGCCTTTTGATTAGTCTGGATCTTGTAAAAACTAATTTCAAAAACAACGGAATAAAAACAATTGGAGTTGCTTTATAAGCATAATCCGAATAAGCAGGAAGTGCTGACACAATAGTTAATAGGTATGTGAGTAATTCACTTAACTTTCTGTTTTATATCCCTGAAAGAAGCTAAAGTAAAAGGTCAGGAAGCAGTATAGATCAGATGACTTCAAAGATTCTTCCAGAGCATCAGTTCTAGGATGTACTGTCTGGGTTCACATTCTCCTTTAGCCCATTTTTTTTTAAATATATTTTTTAATAATGTTGTATTTTTTTTTTACCTTTATTTATTTGTATGTGGTGCTGAGGATTGAATCCAGTGCTTCACACATGCTAGGCAAGCGCTCTACCACTGAACCACAGCCCAGTTTTTAACACCTCCCTGAGAATATACATTGCTAAGCCATTTCAGGAACATTATGGAGAGAAAAATGATTATGTAATGCATTTTTGCACTATATGATATCTAGCACATTTTCTGGAAGGCTCTTGTTCAACAAAATAAAACTGACAAAGATTTCTTTCCATCAATCATTTCCTCAATTACTTTCACTAGAAGACTCAGCTGAATGGTTCAAATTAGAATCCCCTTAGTGTCAAAGCTAATGGATCTCTGCTCCACCAACAGCTTGAAAGCCTGACGTGGTTTCCTTAAGAACCCAAAGTCCTCGCTGATGGTTATTGGTCAGTATAATCTCTATTCTCTGGATTACAACCAGTTAATTCTTTGTATATTGCTTCCTTTTCAAGGCTATTCTCCACGCCCCCACCACACACACACACACACACACCGCCCCCCAAATACTACTGTGGTACTCTCTTACAAAACCATCAATAACCTAATCTAATCCTGGTGTCAGAGATCAGGCAAAAGGAACTTCATGGTTGACATGAAGTTTAAAAGAAAAAGAAAAAAAAATTAAAACAAAAACGAGGGCAAGAGATGTGGCTTAAAGCATTTGTCTAGCATGCATGAGACCCTGGGCTCAATTCCTAGTACCACAAACAAACAAACAAACAAACAAATAAGATGACTATCCCTGAGCTTCCCTAGGTTGGGCTTTGGAACATTCCTTCCCAGTATGAAAATATTACAAATCAAACTAGAATTTTATGTTGTCTTAAAACATCCAATGCAAGTACTTCTCTGAGTATGTTACTGCATACCGTCTCTTCTCTTTCTCACCGTGATATTTTAGACTGAGAAGGCAGATTTGCAAAACTGAATGTGGTTTTGTAATACTACTGGGATTATATTTCATGACCAGTAGGGGGAAAATATAGCAAGTGACCTCCAACTAGCAATTTCCTTAACAGGTAAATGAATGCAAGTGGTTAGGAGGTTGAATTGGGTTTGAATAGCCTGAACAAAGGAATTCTGTCATGAAAAACAGGCAAACAACCCATTCTACTGAGGAACATAAGACTAAAAGACCTTTACTAGCCGTGGTCAGTAATGATGAATGTCTGTAAGCTCTAGAAAAGCAGCAGCAATGGAACATTTTGGCTCCATCTAATAAACTTCCCTCTAAAAGATTCTGGAGAATTCAGACAATGAAAACAATGGAAAGATCCAGAGGCCAGTCTGAAAAGCCAGGCTCCAACAAAACCTCCCGCTGCCGGTTATCCCGGAACTGGAATCCTTGTTTTGAAATCTATGCAAATATCCTGAAAAGGGTAATGAAATTTTCATTTCTCTCTGCAGGGATCAGCTAGCTGTTCTTGGGATTCTCCTGCTAAAGCAAAATGCCACTGCTGGAACCCCTGCAAGAAGAGATCTTTCCAGAATCCCCAAGGAAGACTTCAGAAAAGACCTGCTCCACAGGTAAACATGAAAGTCAACTCTCAAGCTCAAATACCCTTCTACCTGCCAAAAGAAACCCCATTCATACGTGGTAACAGTGCCAGCAGCAACATGACGTAGAAGAAAGTCATGGGATTTTTAGCCATAGTTATATAAATATGAGCAAAATGTCTTAGTCCTTCACATTTCAGGTACCTCTACTCCATGGTTAAGACCTAAACACTCGTCTCCACTTCCTACGGTGGCTTCCTATAAGTATCAAGGAAGTGGATGTGTCCAGGGCAGCACTGAAGTGTGAGGGGTCAGGCCCAGGCCATTGGCATTAGCTACATACAGATGCTGTCTGTGTCACCAGTTTTTCATCCCTGGACAGACTGCTTCACCTGCTTCGGCTTAGATTCCTCATTTTAAAAAAATCTTGTTGTTATTATTATTATTATTATTATTATTTTGGTGGGGTTCTTTCTTTTGTTCTTCAAACCTAGAGCTTTGCTAATGCAAGGCAGATGCTTTGCTACTGAGCTACATCCTAGCCCTAGATTCCTCATTTTTAAAGAGAGAATAATGATGGTATTCCAGCTAACAGGGTTATTTTCTTGATAATTAAGCAAGTCAGTCAACACCAAGCATCTAGCATATTCCCATGGCACAATAAACATGCAACAAATAATACAGTTATTGGAAACTGGCTAAGACCAAATCCAGCCTGGCACACATAGAAGAGTTCAAAATAGGTTTGATGAATGAACAAGTGATGACAAGCTTATCACATTTGACAGATTATTCCTTTAGCCAAGGTTTGTTCCCACCTTGCTTTCATGTTCCTAACACAAAAGCAATTTAGGACATAGGCTAAGTGAAATAAGCCAATTGCCAAAGGTCAAATACTATATGATTCCACTCATAAGAGCTACCTAGAGTAGCCGAATTCATAGAGACAGAAAGTAGATTGGTGGTTGCCAGGGGTAGGGTGGAGGGGGAGTGTTTAATGGGTACAGAATTTCAGTTCTACAAGATGAAAAGAATTCTGGAGACAGTGGTGGTTAAGGGTTGCCCAACACCATGAATGCACTTAATGCCACTGAGTTATACATGGAAAAAATAGCAAATTTGTGCTGTATGTATTTTACCACAATTTAAAAAATAAGTTAAAAAAGAAAGTAGGCACTCATGGAAGATGAGGTTAATTTAGTGTCTGTTAATATACAAACAACCAGGCATTTGAATCCACTCTCAATTGTTATGCTGTTTCTGTGCCAGTCACTGGGGTGGCACCCTTGCTGGAAGACACTCTCCTTGGCAGTCTGCAAACACCGGGAAGAATCCCCAACCATTTCCTAGAGCTAACTGTAGTTTCCCAGGAGAGCGCCTCTGCTTTTTATTTTTAATATATGCAAGCAATAACACTGCTCAGAATTTAAATTTCCTAATTATAATTGAGTTCCAAAAAATTAAACGGAGATCATTAGGAAAATACAAGATGAAGTCATGTTGGTAAAGGAGCCATCATTTTCCTGAAACTGTTTCTAATCCTCTGACTCTGTCTGGACAGATTACTGAAATTATAAGACCAGTTCTGTGGGGAATTATAAATGGGTTCTGTTGTTTGGATCCGTTGGAAGCCGAAATAGATAGGAAAAAAAGAGAGAAACCAATGGAAGTGACTGAAACCCGGTGGAATGACATGGCTTTAACAATGACCTTGAGGTCTGAAAGCTGAGTTGAAATCCTGGCCCAAACATTTAATGGCTGTGTGGGGCCCTTAGCATCTGAAAATAAAGGAATTGGAAAGATGATTTCTAAGGTCCCGTTCTAGCTTAATCAATTTGAGATTCCATTAAAACACCCTGTCAAAAAATTTAACTTTGATGAACCACCTTCCCCCAAGAAATCTTATTTGTTAGTCCTGGATGAACACGTCATGGGCCATCATGCAGAGAATGCAGTGAACATGTTATCAAGCTGAAGACAAAAAAGTGTCCAAGATGATGTTGGTCAAGAAAATCAAATAACTCCAACAAGAAGAATTCCTAGGACAGAGGGGAGATGCTCTGTTGAGTGGTGAGATAGATGGGGTGGAGCTAGACTAAAGGATGGCTCTGCTCTCTTCCCCCTTCAGTCCCCAGTTTTCCCTCCTGCCCACTCACCTGCGTAGGAAGACACGGGGGAAATCTGCAGAGGGTACAGCTCACTCATGCTGACTGGCTGCTCATCACTCTCGGTGGTCACCTCCACAACTTGGCAAATGTCTGGCGGATTAGTAACAATCTCTTGATCCTCGATGGTGCTGTCCAGATGGGACTGTCCTACAACTTCAAAGGAAAGAGAACCATCATGCACCACTGTCTCCTGCCCTCGCAATTCTCATACACACTCTCAAGAAAGAAAATCTTCCCCCACAGAGACAGCTTGGCAGCCAGGAGTCAGATTCCTGGTCACCACATGTCGCCTGCCATGAAGCTGAAGAACAGACCTGAGAGCTGGGTTAATATTACTAGAGAAGCCTCCTACCGTCACCTGGCTCCCAATGCAAGGTGGCAGTGTCCTACCTAGATCATCAAGAGTTTCAAACTCAATCAAGTCAGGCTGGATCCAGACCTAACCCCAGGCCAGATGTAACAGTGCTTTGAACTTGACCTTCCTGCTCTCTGCTTTTGCTCAAGGAATATCCTGTACTTATTTTCTAAGAACTTTGGTCCTGAGAGACGTTATCAAACCTCAATGAGAAGAAAAACCATGAAAATCCACCCCATTGTGTTATTTTAAGTCATGGGGGAGAGGGCTCTATCCATACTCTCAGCTTCTTCCTTCTCTGAATATGACCAATTGGCCAAAATACCAAAACAATGTTAAAAGTTGGCTCTCCAATTCTAACAAACATTAACTGCATCTCCAAAACAGAATGCTAAGATGAATTCTGACCATCGCTAGCTTTGCAACTGCCTCAATATTTTTTTATTAAGTTTTAAATTTTGAAACAATTAAAAACTAACATTAGTTGTAAGAAATATTACAGAGAGGGTAGGAGCTGTAGCTCAGTGGCAGAGCACTTGCCTAGCATGTGTGAGGCATTGGGTTTGATCCTCAGCACCACATAAAAATAAATAAAATAAAGGCATGCTGTCCATCTACAACAACAAAATTTTTTTTAAGTTTAAAGAAAAAAAGAAAAAATACAGAGATCGTGTGTGCCCTTTAGTCTATATCCTCCAACGGTACCATCTTATAAAAACTAGAATTTAATATCATAATCAGATACTGACATTGGTGAAAGTCCACCATCTTGTTGAGATCTCCTAAATTTTACTTGTGCTCCTGTATGTGAGTGTGCATACTTAGTTCTAAACAAGTTTTATCACATAGGTAGTTTCAAGTACCTACTACTTCAGTCAAAATACTAACAAGTTCTGTGAGAGTATTTCTCATGTTACCATACCTACTTTCCTTCAGGACCTCCCTGTCCACTGTCTTCTCTCTAGTCCCTGGCAACCATTCATCTGTTCCATTTCTATATTTTTGTTATTTCAAGGATGTTACATAAATGGACTCATACAGTAATCCTTTGGGATTGGCATTTTTCACTCAGCATAATTCCCTGGAGAGTCACCCAAGGTCCTGTGTGTGTGCCAATAGTTGGTTCTTCTTTATTGGCCGAGTGGTATTCCATGGTATGGTGTACTTCATCTGTTTAACTATTCACCCACTGAAGGATGTCTGGGTTGATACCAGTCTTTAGCTATTACAAATAAGGGTGCTATGAACGTTGGCGTTCAAGTTCTGCATGAACATAAGTTTCCATTTCTCTGGGATAAATGCCCAAGAGTGCAACTGCCAGCTCATATGGGAATTGCATGTTGAGTTTTACAAGAAACGGCCAAACTGTTTCCCAGAGCGGCTGTACATTTATATTCTCACCAGCAATGACTGAGTCATCTAATATCTCTGTGTCCTCACCAGCATTTAGCATTGTCATTATTTTTTATTTTAGCCATTCTGATAGGTAAGTGATGATATTCCATTGTGTTTTTAATTTAAATATCCCAAACACCCTGTCCTAATTTTACAGAGAATTGACCTTATACTCCTGTTGGCAGTTGATTAGATGAAATGTCCCTGAAAATTGGCTCCAATTAATAAAGGAGAAGATAATAGCATAGTAATTGGGAGGCAGAGCAATATTTTCCCAAGGTCCTCAAAAGCATTCCCCACCATAATCGATGAACTAACAATGTGTGTAAGTTCTTTTAACATTTAAACCCATGAGAATGACAGGGAAGCCATCATTATCCTGTTAAAGATGAGAACACTCCAACACAGAGAGGGAGAGTGTCCTGTGCAAACTCACACAGCTTGGATTCTGTGCAGTGCCCTTTGTTCCTGTCCTTTTCCTCCCACTTCTGCAACTATACAATATTCAGGTTAGGCAGAAAGGAGCCCCATTGCCGTCTCCTGGAATTGGGAACTGGCTCTTGTTTCAGTCACTCAAAGTTTCTTATTGGCGCCAAGTTGTTTTAAGTCCCTGTTGTAATTACTTTGGGGGTGATGAGAACCTTATCTGATTTCTACTCAGGGAAGGTTTCAGAGTACAGTGGGAATTCCTAGGTTTTGTAACAAAGAAAAGAAGGCACCCAAGAGGCTGGGAACGGGGCTGGGGATGTGATAGGATGTGACAGGAGTTCACAAAGCCACAGCAAACAGAATGGAAGGGAAATGGGATTCTGTTAGGTTTTCCTGGCAGGGATATAATTAAAGAAGAGGTAAGCAGGCTATTTATGGCAAGCAGACTCCCAAATTCTGCTTTCACCCTTCAGACTATCCCATTTGAGTGTGAGGGCATGGATTATGCAGGTCATCAGGCTCCGACTGAGTGCCCACAAGGACCCCTCCCAAGGTTTCCTTTGCCATTTCTCCCTAGTCAATAAAGTGGCAGGAAAAGAAAACAAAGTCCTATCCAGTCCCGAGTCCTAAGAGGCACTTGGTGAGTGGAGACAGAAACCAAGCAAGCACTGTGTGTGTGTGTGTGTGTGTGTGTGTGTGTTTGAAGAGGGAAGGCACCATGCAAAGTTGAGCGCACCAAGGCAACAAAGGTCTCATGGAGCACCTGCTTGCAAGGTCCCTGTTATCCAATACCAGGAGGGGTGGCAAGAGAGCCCCAGAGACAAGAGGGTTGCTAAGGAGTCTAGTAGGCAATTGGGCAGCACCGAGTGAGCTAAGGCTTACGGCAGTGAATATGGAAAAGGAGGGGAAGGCAAGAGGGAGAACACTAGATGAAAGCTGAGGAGCTGAAGTATTTCTTTCCAGTTCAAGGAATTCAGTGAGAGTGGGAGGTAGAGCAATGGGAGTTTGTTGAGGGCCACAGCCGAGTCGGAATGGCCCCTGGCATTTTGCCAATAGTATTGGTTGAGTGGCGAGCCATTAAGATGATGCTGGATTGATTCAATTGTATATTAGACCTTTAACGTTTGCTTTGACTCCTCTACTTTGGAGTTCTCTCGGGATTCCTGGAGAGTTCACATTGGTTGGGGAAGTGCCGGAGGAAGGATTTCCGGTTGGTAGTACCTGGAGGAGAGCGTGTGTGGAGTGTGCTGGTGGAGTTCAGAAATAAAGTTTGTTCCTGCTTCAGTGGCTTGTGATTTGAGCCCAGCCAGACTGTGGCAGGAGTTATCCAGAATGCCCATTTTCTGGAGCCTTCTTGATCACTCTGGCACCTACAGACCTGTGTCTGCTCTGCACACCTCTCACTCTCCGTCCTTGGAACTCAGCCCAAACCACACCATGACAGGACCTTGTGGCATTCCTTGACTTTCTGTTTCATATTTCTTGTTAATTCTGTAAATTTTCACATAACTTTTTAGCTGTATATACCATATCTCTTCAACCCAATCATGGCTCCTGAGAGCTGAGAACCAGCATTAGAACTTTTGCATCCTGTCAGGACACATGCTCACAGGTGGCACCAGGGAGGAGCGACAAATCTCCGCCCAAAAAACACATGAATGGAAGGTTGAGGCTCACAGGCTGGAGATAGGATTGTGCAGAAATACAACTTGCAAATGTGGACTGTGACAATTAATGCTTTCTAGAACGTTCCAAGATTCACAGCCAGTGGACTCTTTTAAACCTAAATGCAGCAATGAAGACCTAGCAGGCTATGCTGCTGTGTGGGGGCTGGGGGAGAACATGTTTGGGGGGTGACAAAAATGTTCTGACTGGAGTATGGTGGTCACACAACTGAGTGTATCTGTCAAAACATTAAGAACTGCACCCCCAAAAGGAATCAGGGGCACTGTATTTCACTTAACATATATGATCTCAGATGAAAAAAGCAGATCAGTGCCTGTACTCAAATTTTAAGAATATCCCGAATGCTAGTGACTAGGACAGAATTGTAGTAAGCTTTGGTTTTCTGGGCCAAGATCTAGAAAGCCCGTTTTTATAAGTACATTATCTCCGAGGCCACGCTTCCCCCATGGGAATTCACTGCTGCATGCCTCAGTAAGGGATGAGCACTCCTCCCCATCCCAACCTCACTGAGGGCACTTCAGGAAATTTCCAGCTTGAGACAAAGCCCCTGGGACAAGCAGGGAAATCAAAACATTGAGATTCTCTCTAGATGCGCTTCACTGCCATCACTAATCTGTCTCTCTCTGTGGCCGTCCTCTGGGCACTGGTCAGTGACCTGACTGGAAATATGAACAGGAAACCTAGCTTCCTGAGCTCATGCCTTAGCCTCTCCTGCCTATCTGCCCCGCCCCCCATCTCTCAGTCCTACAGGGAAGGAACAGTCATGATCCTCATTTTCGACATAATGAAATAACAGCATGAGAACTAAATACCTAATTCAAGGTCAGACAGCCAGGAAGTGGCAGAACCAGGATTCAAGGTCAGCTTAACCTGACCCCCAAGTTTCTATTCCTCTGTGACACAGTCTCAAAGCATTAACCAAGTTCAACCTGAGCTCCTCTCCAGCTTTCTAAGCCCCTCTGAGGGGAAAAACTTGCAGTTTCACCTTAATGAGTCTTTGAGCCCCTAACCACCAGTGACATTTCTTTTCAACAGTTCTCTAATGGCTGGAGGAGCTAGAAATCCACCAAACCCCTCCAGCTTAGTCAGATCAGCATATCATGCAAATTCAGCCACAGGAGGGTAATTTTATCTCAATCTAGTTGCTGAGAATTACAACAACATTATTCATGGCTGGTTACTGATGAACCGGTTTGATAGCTTGAAAGGTCATTCTTACTTTATTAACAATTGTTGACTTAGTGTAGGGCTCCACCTGAGAAAGCAGCTCACTCCCAGGCTTAAAAGC